GTAGTTCTTGTTTTGCTCCATCGGCCCCTAAGGATGTTTTAAAATGTAGTGTAGGAGACTACAAAACTACCACTGCATAAACTGTTGGGTGTCCCTGTCCAATATAGGCTGCTTTGGTCTCTTCTCTGTGTCTTCAGAGAGCTTATTTTACAAGACAGTGACCCTGAAAGAATACAGACCTACGCACTGCTTGCTTGCTCCTTAAAGATGCAACACTCTTAGCAAGGAAGTAATTTTGAAAGCTTGACTGCTGTAAGACTCCAACTGTAAGCACTGAGGTGGAAGAGGAGCAGTTGCCAGTGTGTTGCGTGACCTGCAAATGAGTTGTCATCAATAGCATTAGCAGAAAAACTACCTTGGGATCATTCCCTCACATTTGAAAGGAAATGGCAGCCCTCATTTTTACACATTCCAGCTCTAATGGCAGGTTCAGAAAGACATCAGTTGTGCTCAGAGGATGTTGTCTTACTCTTAATTAGGGAGGTGATGAATTTTAAGTGACGCTACACTTCCTATTTTTACCTCAGGGAATTTAGCAGAATGAATAACTATTTGAGAGTCTAATATGTGAAGCCTGAAATCCTGTACTGTCAAAAGTGGTGTTTAGCATTCTTCTACATTCATTTATACCCAGACCATCCGCTACTTGCCTGCCATTCCAGTGCCAACCAGTCACTTTCCCCACAGAACTGACCTTACATGCTATGACTAACACGATTTGCTGGACTCCCTGGTATCTACTTACAGTGAACTGACAGTTGTGTGTTTTGTAAATTTGTGCTTTTCTCTCTGTTTTCAAATTCCCAAATACGATAAACCATTGTGTTTGTTATTGTCAGAATAGTGTAATACTTGGAAATTCCTTTTCTTTGAGTCTGCCCTCCACCCTTGACATTTATTTTCTTATAAGCCTTTAATTCCAGTTTCTAGGTGCATCCAAGTGAGAGGTAAAGAAATGTTCCTATTTAATCAAGGATGCTGTGTCCAAGGTCTTTCAAATTCATCTGGTAACCAAAAGAGTTTCAATACACCTTCCCACAAATAAACTCATTGTGAGCAACAGTGCCCTTAGAAAAATTGGAGTTCACATTTAGGGCACAGTAAAACAAATAGGTTTGACAGAAGCAGATTGCTGATAAGTGGGAAGAGTTGTTTGTTTCCACCTCTCCCTTACCCGCTCGGTTACTGCCCTTTCTTGCTAAACTGTACGTGTGATCGGGTTTTGTGCTGATTCTTTGAAAGATTTCAGATTAATGAACAGCTGGAGATGACAATTTAACCTAGATATATAACAGCTAGGATGGTTTGACTGTCTGTGCCTCTATGATATTGCCAATTGGTTCCTAAAATTCTGACTAGCTGTATTTGAGTGTCCTGTGGAAACTCCAAAGATCTTAAAACCAACAGATAGGAACTGTATAACCTTTACAAAAATTTAAAAAAAAAAAAAAAAAAAATTCAAAGGTAAAGATCTATTTGTGATAAGGCTTACACTATGCAACCATAAATGTAGCCTGATTTCAGGGGTACAGTAGTACAAGAGGTAACTGATTTGAAATGAATGTTGTTTGTTTGTTTTAATAGGGTAAAATCCTACTAAGATTGTTCCTTAAAAATTAACAGCCCCACTTCAGTTTGGTAGCCAGCTGCTGACTGAATGTGACCTTCTTCTTCCTCCTGCATGGTCCCTAACACTGCCTCTGTTTTTCATCTGCCTTCTAGAACAGTCGCCAAGGCATCAGGAAGACAGGAATAGCCACAAAACAAGTGGTGAGTTGATGGCATAAGAGCTGCCTGACTCCTTCTAAACAAAGCCAACCTAAGAGAGTGCCTGAGATATGCTGGCAATCCACTTGGCTGTAACACGTAAAAAGCCTTTATAAAGCATTCTCCCTTGAGATTCCTTAAAATTGTGGTTTTTCTTAAAGCCATTAAGACGTAGAAAGAATAAATGACTAAGAAATCTTATCTTGGCATGAAAATGTGCAGTGGGCAGAGTGCCAAGATAAAAAAAATCCCTATGAATTCACTTAATGAATATTCTATATCTGAGCAATTGTGCACCACTGCAGGGCAGCCTAAGTTGCTAAGAATATGGCAATGATAAAGGTGGAATAATTTGCTTTAAAATGGATGTTGATATTTGCACTTTTGCCGTGCACTGCGTTTTAAAAGCATGGCACTTTCTACACACACTACATGCAACTTAACATTAGGCATGAAAGTAACCTGTTTACTTCAGTAAGAGCAAAGTTTTTCAGTAACAGCAAAGTTTGTATGTGTATTTATCAAATTAGACTTAATCTAGAGCACTCTTAGTCTTTCCATTCCACACCTTTTCTTTTTGCTTTTCACACTGCTGGCATTGACTTATTTTGCTCTAGGCATCAGTTTCATGGAAGGATTCATGCAGGAGAAAACAGTCTCATAAGGCTCAGAAACTGTAACTACAGGAGCAAAGAAATGGTGTGTGGATATTCCAGATACAAAGGTGCTGTATTTAAAAATTGTTTGAGAGGTGGGGGAATGAAGAGGTAAAAGCAACAGGAAGAAAAGTATACAGACAGACAGCTGCTATGTCTGTTCCAAAGCCTGCAAAGCTGCATTAACTCCTAACCCACCAGGTTGCTAGGAAATTGTCTTACCTCACTGACATCATGCCTAGCCATGGTTTGCCACTTTGACTCTTCAGTTTATTCCAGCAAGTTCCTAGACATTTCTCTCCCCGGCTTGCTGGCCTACATTTCACAGTCCATGGGACTCTATTAGGAAAGGTCACCAATTGCTACAAAGAGATTTATGAATGCCTGCCAGATTTGACTACTGCAACATTTCTCTTTGGGAGAGGAGCTGCACAGACCTTGCCAAAATGCTAATTCTGTAGAAAACAGCATCGTGAAGCATCATATATTCCAATAATTCCTTCTGACACCTGCATCATATTTCTCTTGAGTCATGTTGATACGTGTCACCTTCTGTAATTAGTTTCTAGTTGTCTTTGTTTCTCCTTCATACTCACTCTCACTTCCCATATGCAATCACTGTAATGAACCTTTCGAGGCTGACCTCACATCTCCAGGAAAAAAACTCAGAGTTCAGTTGGCATTAATTCATTATATACCTCCCACTTTCTACTGCTTATCACTATTGTAGCACTTGCTTTCTCGGGGTGCAGGCATCTGTTCAGCACTACTAAAAGATAGCTAACTTGGCAACTGATTAACTCTTTCAATTCTAAGCTGCCACTTTGGGATTCATTAAATAAAAGGCACAAACAAGAACCATAGACTCAAAATAGACCTCAAAAACTGAGTTTGTCAGCACAGATGGTTCTTCAACGATTTTTTTCAAACCATAACAAACAGTACTACAGTTTTATTTCCCTACTGGACGTATCCACCTTCATCCCTAGCTCTAAGTCCACCTGAAGATCTTCTGTACAGAAACTGTTTAATCTACAACGAAGCACCTCTTTTGGTAGTATTTATATGGTACTTTTTTACAACATACGCCTTCCCTCACGAAGAGATGCACGCATTTGGTGCAGATGATCTAGTGGTCTTCTCCAACCTTAATGATTCTGTGATTCAGTAGTCACAAAGGCCAGGTTAGCTTGTGTTGACCACAAATTAAAGATCTCATTACCTATTACAGAGGAGGTAGGTGCAATCTCAGGGCCATGTTGCAGGCAGAAATTCTTTTTGTTCATCACTGGTAAGAAAAGTGCATCAGCTTACAAGAGAGATGATGCAGTGGTGCTTGAACAATCTACCTAGAGGCTTAGGGAAAACAGTCTGTAGTCTTTGCTGTCTTGAGGAACAACAAAAGGTTTTTCAAGAATGCAATTCTCTGGGTACCAGTCTGGCACTGCTTTGGGTTTAATATGTTCATGGAAGACTAATGAGAATGATGCAGGGCACAGATAGTACCTGTCCCTGTTACATTGATACATATTTTACCTGCATGACCTACCCCTTCTTGACCCAGCCCTTCTGACCTGAGCACAGATGGATGCGGTTGTACTGGGCTTCTGGACAAGAGGAGGTGGAAAACCCTTCTTGCTTATTGACAGTATTCAGTGCAAATAGGATTGGTTAAGTGGTGATTCCAGCCTCCTCCGGAAACTAACTTAAAGATGGCAACAATTCCTCTTGGTTGTAGGTTGCCTTTGTTGTTTATTTCTGGGTTTTGATCTTAAACTTTGTGTATGTAACTGCAGCGGTAACTTAAAATGATAGGGTTTGGTGTGATCACAGAATCATCCAGGTTGGAAAAGACCTCTCAGATCATCTAAGTCCAAATATCCACCTACCACCAGTATTTCTCAGCTATGTCCCTTATTGTCACATCTCTGTATTTCTTGAACACCCCCAGGGTCGGTGACCCCACAACATCCCCAGGCAGCCTGTGCCAGTGCCCGACCGCTCTTTGGGGTAAATTTTCCCTATTATTCAACCTGAACCTGCCCTGGTGTAACTTGAGGCCATTCTCTCTTGTCCTGTCACTTGTTACATGCGAGAAGAGGCCGACAATATGATAGTTGAAGCCAGAGAAACTGGAGGTGGTAAAGGATAAGTGAGATATCTTGCTAAATCGTATAGTCCCCATGATCCAGACACGTTTGACAGCTTGAAAGGCATTTAGTGAGTTCAGGCCTGGTAATTTCAGAGGAACCATTTTCTCTTTTGCAATACGACGTCCACAGCCAACGGGAACTCCGAGCTGCATTCCAGGCCCCACACGTGTGCTCGCGAGGGGCGGGCCGCTGCCGCCCGGGGCGGTGCCAGCGCGAGGCATGCGGCATCCGCCTCTGCGCTACGGGAGCGGCGCGGCCATGAGGCCGTGTGTGCCGAGTTTCCGCCCTTCTCCTCTTCCTCCTCCTCGCCCGGCGATCGCGGCGGGCCTAGCGGGGCCCTTTGTTCCTTAGGGCAGCAGCTCCCCACCGCTGACCGCCTCGGGGAGGCCGCGTGGCGCTGTACGAGGCGGCGGCGGGAGGAGGAGGAGGAGCAGCCGCCGCCGCCGCCCAGGATGCGATGGGGAACTGCTGGGCGCAGAGCTGCTGCGGGCTGCTCCTCCGCAGGGAAGCGGGCCGGCTCCAGCGAGGCGGAGGGTAAGCAGGCGGCGCGGCTGCCCCTCTTTCCTCTCCCCTCCCCGAGGCGGGGAGGTGCTGGGCCCGTCCGGCTCCGCCCTCCTCCTCCGCGGCGGGAGCGCGGCTCGCCGAAGGGCTGTCCGGGCAGGGCGAGGCGGGCGGGCAGGCGGTGGCGGTTGCACCTCGCCGGGCCGGGTGGCTGCGGGGTTACCTCACCGTGGGCGCTCCCGCAGAGAGAAAACCATAAAGCGGGTTTCGTAGCAGCCGCCCAAGTGCGCGCCTTGCGGGAAGGCGGACAAGGCGACGTCTTCGGGAGGATGACCTTGTGCTCCCTGTGAGCCCTGCTGCGGTGCGGCGGGCAGGCACTGGAGGCCGGCGGCAGGGTGATGCAAATAAACTTTCCGATTTCGTCTCGGTGTGGAACCCGTGCTTTGTTTTCCAACCACTGATTCGCGGAAAAGCAGCGTGCAAACCCGGAAGGGTACGTGCCCTGCCGGCAGCTCCGTCTCCTTCCGTACACCTGCCGGTATTCGGCAGTTCGGTGTCGCCTGCTTTAAGAACTGAAGTACTGCCAGGTCTTGCTGACCCGAGTACCTTGCATGTAGCAGGCTGGAGGCTTTTGATTTCAGTCCGGCTCTACAGGCAGGTCAGCTTGTCCTGAGGGCCTCCTGGCAATCCTTTTTCGAGGAACGGGGCTGAGAGCAGGGTTGGGCGGTGGAGGATACCTGCTTGGGTTCCTGGTGCTCCCAGTGAGGGTTTAGGGATAGCTGAAGTGCCTTGCACTGAAGTGTCCTTTTCTTCTGCTGTCATCCGAGAAAAACAGGTAATACTTGATAGGTTCTTACTTCACCTGTTGTTTTTGCTGAGTCTCTGATTATAGCCCTTCTGACATCCAAGGTTAGTGATAAGAAGTTATCTGCTATGTGTTCTTGTGCTTTAAATTGATTGTTTTGCTTTTGAGGCTCGGTGGGTTGGTGTTTCTTTTCTTCGTGCTTGTTTTTCCTGCCCAGCCACTGTTAACTGACCCAATAGCATTGGGTAGGAGGCAGAGTCTACAAAGGCTTAAGATTGTCTTGACCATAATGGTAATTCCTTGATTTACCCTTATATTTTACCTCTCCCTCTGCCCCAAACTGACTGTTGCCTATTTATGTTTTTTCCCCTTACATTCTTTTCTTTGTGCTTGTTTGCAATCCTTCTATCTGGGTTTTTTTTTTGTGTGTTTTGTTCTGTTTTCTAAACATTCATTGGTGCTTGCAGTGCCATCTCTTCTAGTGTTTGGTTTGGGTGCATGTCTTACTGAATTTACCAAGATGATTACAAAAAATTGTTTTCAGAACTTGTTTGCTTCTGCCATGCTCAACCTTCTCATATTCACCAATTGGTTTTCTGCATGCTCTTACTGAGGTTACCAGTTTTCTTGACAGACTTTGTGTTTTGATGTCTTCCACATAGTTACTAGTTTGCTGCCAGCTTGGTTTTCATAGTGGCAGACAGGAATATCAAAGTGCAGCATTATGAGAAGTGCTATTCTCTTAAACTGGGGGATGGGGTTCAGGAGATGTTTGTAGGTGCCCACCCTTAAAGGAGAAGGTTGTTTGCAGAGGTGGCTTAGCTTCTCTGGCGTGCATGTATTTCATCTTTGTCCAAGGTCAGACTGTCCTTATCAGTGAGATAAATCTTACTGTCTGCTGTGGTAATGGTATAAATGTACGTTCCTCCAGGTCATGCCTGCAGTGAAAGGTTTTGGGTACTGTTAGAGTCACAAAATCACAGAGGTTACACAGAATCATAGGGGTTGGGAGGGATCTCCAGACATTGTCAAGTCCAACCCCTCCGCCAAAGCAGGTTCCCTATACCAGGTCGCACAAGTCGGTGTCTGGGCAGGTCTTGAATATCTCCATAGAAGGACACTCCACAGCCTCCCTAGGCAAAGTTAGGAAAGTGGAATCGTAGTGCAGAAAACAGACTTTTCTAACTGGCAAAGACAGCAACCTGTTTGGATTCCCTTTTGAACCCTGAAACTGGAATATCGTGTACAAGGATCAGCTTACAAGCAGTCATCAGTACTTCCTCTTGTAGACAGGCGGCATATGTCTCAATAGACCTTTGTTTTGTGGATGTGCTGCCAGTGCGCAGAATAGTATCAGTGTTAAGCAACCTGGGTATTTTCCATAAGTGTACAGTGGAAGGGACAGGGTATTAGACTAAATACAAAACTCTAAAGTGCGTGTTATGAATTTTTTTTTTAAGTTTGAAAGTGACCAAATCCTGCAGTTCTGAATTCTGCTACCAAATTCGGCAGATCTGGCTACTTCTACGGCAGCATAATGCAGCTTATCGAGTTAATGGTGATTATTGTCATCACTCAGATTTTTCTCCTCCAGAAATAGAACTTCATTATTCTTAGGTACTCCAGGACTTAACTGTAAGAAGTAAATTCTGAATTAAGTAGTAAACTACAGATTTTAGCAAGTGCTTACAAGGCCTGCAAGATTCTAATCTGTGTTTAAATGCTTGGAGATGCATGTATAATTTGTTGCAATGATTCTAGAGTTTATGTTGAACACGCATAGAAAGAAAAGAAATGTGAAAATCTTCAGTATAATGTAGTTCACCTTTCTGTAAAAACAGAAACTTTCAGTTGGTGACTTTTTATTTTTTATTTTATTTTTTAGGGAGTGTCCTTAGGCTTCTTCTGAAATAGTTTGACATGAAGTACTACAATCTGCAGCCATAATTAGAAAGTAGGTCACTGCTATTTTATCTCTGTGCTTGACCATAAGGGTTCTTACATATATAGGGCTAAAAATAATGAATAGAAAGAATAAATAACCTAGAGACAACGTATTGAGTTCTTTTCTTTTTCATTGGGGTAGGGAGGTGTTATCATACAGCAAAATGTAGCAAAACCAATTTTATCCTCAGTGTGGAGGGGAAAAAAAAACTAACTTGTGCCATGGTTTTCTTACACAAAATGTTAATGTTTAGTAGAGATTTTTTTTCTCGTGCATTTAAAAAATACGGGTAGTAACATGACTTTGCATTAAAGGCTAACAAGGTACATAGATGTTAAGTGGATTAGAGTTGGTTTATTTAATTTGTTTTGAACTTGAAAATCGATTTAAAAGTGTTTATAGGTGCAGTGGCATACTAGGTGCCCTGCTTTCTCCAATGCTCATCAAACCTAAGTCTGTTTTAGCAAATAAGAGTTGGAATGAGAATAATAAGAGTGGTAGGCTTTTCAGTATTTCTACTTTATTTCAGTTGAAGTTGGTATGTATAGTGATGGAGCTGTTTTCCATTTCTGTCCTCCATGAACTCAGTCGCCTGTAGATGTGCTGAGATTTCAGGTCCCAGACTCTTGTACAGAACTAGGTGTTAGGTTATTGAGCCCCTGTTCAGTAAGGAATGCATAGCAGGAAATGTAGATCTTCCTTGAGATGTCAGCACTGTTGATGTGTTTGTAATACATGTAGTAAGCTTACGCTACATTGCCTTAGTTTTCTGCTCCTTCACTGTTCAATTCTTGCAACTAATCTGACTGCAGCTTCTCTGTCTGAAAACTTGTCATATGTTGAGTAGCCCCTGTTGCTGTAAACTGGAACAGTGTTTTTGGTGAAGAATACAAGTTCCTAAAACAGTTTTGTGCAACGGTCATAGTAAATTCAGTTCTTAATGGCATTGGCTCCTGCATGCTAAAATGTTGCGCCTAAGAAGTAACAGTGAAATTATCTTAAGTGCTCGTACTACATTTGCCAGCTATAATGAAGATGTAGTGAATGAATTAAAATGCCCATTTTCCCCTGATTTTGTAGCAGTGAATCTACTGAAGGTGGTTCCTTCGTGCCAGCTGTGCATTGCAGTGTTACAGCTGTGTGTGCAAGGAAAGGCTGACCAGGAGTCTGCACTGAAAAGGGCTGTGCAGGTTTTTGGAGGGCATGTCCTGAATGACTTCTAAATGAAAATACAATGGGAATGAAATGTGATATGATTGAAATAATCCAGGCTTTGGCTTGTGTGTAGCTTTTAGTAAAGTGGAGGTGTGTGTTGATTGCATGTACAGAACAATCTGTCGTAGAAGTATAGAAATGACTGGGGCACTGGATTTATTCGATATCAATGAGCACTTGCAGCTGGAGACTTTGCTTTTAAAAAAGTTAGATAAAATGGATGTTTTAGTGAAGCATGAATGTACTTCTGGGGGACAGCCAAACCTCTGTCGCTGGGTAAAATTTATTCAGATAACTCAATACTGTATTGGTGTTGTCCTTTTTATAAAGGGCAACATTAAGACAGGTTAAGAATAAATGAGGAGACTAATCCCTGTATAAAGTTACTGACTCCAAATAGCTCTTTTTCTAGCTTAGGAGTATTGCCTTTATCCCAGATTGCTTTTTCTTAGAGATTCTTTCTTGTTCTTTTGATGATTGGTAATGCTTCCATGAATATGGGGGAAGAAGGCCAACCTTACAGCTGTGTAAAGCTGTGAAAATGGGATGTATTGTTTTATGTTGACGTCATACAATTACGCTGGTAAATAATTAAATCCCATGATGAGCAGTGGAGCTTTTGGAAGCTGTCTAAAACGGCGTTTTTCAAGAGAAGTGTATTAAAGAATGTGCCTAATTTGTCGATGGCAAGTCCATCATGCTGATAGTGGTGCCTGCAGTTTAAGGGTGTTCATGTTTTCTTCAGTTCTGTTTGCCTCTGTGCTCTGGTATAGAATGGTAGCAATGGAGAGCACAGCTTGACAAGTCAACATATTTAATATATGAAGTTTATTTCACACTGAAAATATTTGAAAAGCTATTTAAAATTGCGTGACTCTTTGTTTTCTTTCTGCTGAGGTTGAAATGAAGATTATTTGTAGAGTAATACTGTACTTATTTTTCCAGGTCGAAGTACTTTAGAACATGTTCAACAGGAGAGCACTTCACTATAGAGGTGAGTATTTACACTTAAAGCAGGTTGGATTTGTTTTGTTTTGGCTTTTTTTTTTTTTGTTTGGTTGGTTTGGAAAATAGTCTAATTTTTGTTGTGTGATGATGTTTTTTTTGTTTGTTTGTTTTCGGAAGAAAATCAGTGGAAAGAGCTTATTTTTAGCAAAACCTTTAATGCTTCTTGCAATAAAATACTGAATATATTGAAGTACTCTGGGTTATTCCAGGCTGAATTGGGTGCTACACTGGATCACACATCATCACACTTCATTAATCTATCGTTTGTAAAGAGTCGTCTGTGATCATCTGACATGAAGTAACTGTGGTCACCTGATAGCCAGCACCGGATCATTCTGCAGTCTGTCTATTGGTCCTTTCATCCCTCATATGCTGGGAGCTATTTTCTCCCCTTCTGCTGTTAATGTGGAATATTTTGTTCTTGACTGCAGGACCATGAGTCTGATTCTAAAAATAAATAAATAAAACAAAAAAAAACATCTGCTGGAATTTATAGTTCTATAAATTTATAGTTAGATGCACATCTATCCATTGTTTTCACTAGAGAGGTCCTTCTCAGCAATTGAATATCTCTCCTTTTCGTGAAGGCTCATGTAAAGTTTATTTGTATTATTTGGGATTGTCAGAATAAGCTGGTTTACTTCCTCCAAGTATTTCTTATGGCCCAAAAGTTCTAGACCTTTCAGAGATTCCCTTTGCTGAGAATGCTAGTAATTAATCACGGCTTTAGTTTTGAGCCATGTAGAGTGTGGAAGATGTGTTTTTAGCACACAGCTTCCGGTTGTGAAAGAGCATTCCTGCAGCATCAAAATGATAGAGAAAAGAAGGTTCTGTCCTCCCCTCAAGTTCTTGCAGGCATTCTACTTGCAGCAATTAGAACAGCAGAGGAGTCTTGCTAACCTCTGCTTCTGATGTATTTACCTCATTTATGATTACTATTCTGAAAACAATAGGGAATTTTTCCATTTCCTCTGTTTCATGAGATAGTTCAACTGCTGCTGTACCCATTCAAGCAACTTCAAATGCTGCATGTATTCTAGACTGCTTGGGGACTTCTTGGGCTTCTTATCATAAGGCATTACATTGCTTCATTGGCCTGTAGGTTTTTATGTGCAAAGCTGGGGTGTGGGGTGTGTGTTTTGTTTGCTTTTAGAATCCTGGGTAGGAAGTAATCCTATGTATTCTGTAAGTTAAATACATCTTCAAATACTTTTTTTGAAGCATCACAATTACCATGCAAAGGGCAAGTTACTTGCACTGTACCCATCACATTTTGTGTATGCTAAGCTGAGTGGGTGCTTTGATTTATTGCCATGCCAAGATAGAAGCTATGGTAAATGTACTAATTCCTCAGAAGGAAGATGCTTTAATAAATAGCATTACAATCTCAGTATTATCACTGGAGTAGTATTTTCACAAGGCACATTAAATACGTGATTATGTGTACTTCAGGTGTTCAGTGATTTGTTATACTGGATTGTAAAGATTGTTTACTCTTTCTCTGCAGTTTGAGAACCTCGTGGAAAGTGATGAGGTAGGTGCTTGGATCATGACATGAATCTTGCTAATACAATACACTCACTTAAAATGGTTGCAAGGTCTGTATCTGTCTCCTACTGGATGCCACTTTGATCTGCTCAGCCTTAAATTGCTGGTTTTTTTACTTGGAGTTTTGGTTGCTCCAGGAGTATTTAATGCGTTCAGAGAGACGAAAAGCTGTGATGATAAAAAAAAATAAAATAAAATAAAAATCTGGCTGTGGGAATGTGGGAGGTAGCACTTCATAAAAGTGTTATGGACATTAGCAAGACAGGAACTAAAGAGAAAGCCAAAAAGCTTTGAAAAAGAATTTGCTCTTGTTATAGGCCTTGTATGCAATTCAGCAAACACTGAGTAGTAAATGGGCACAAGTTGCTTTGCTGAGGAGCATTTTGGTAGCCCTGTGGTGTGTCAGCTGTGGGTAAACTGACTGAAAGGTTTAAAAAAAACCTATTAAAAAAAAAAAAAAAAAAAAAAGTTGGCCTTAAAACTATGAATTAAATGTAGGTTGATAATGGTGGGAAAAATGTGTTTTCATTACTTTGACTTGTGTTTTAAAACTCAATGACTAGTAGTTTGATTCCTGAAATACTGAAATACACAACTAGAATGTTTATTTTCAGTTGGAAATGCTTATTTTTTTTACTTAGTCATCTACTTTGGTTGATTGCATAACAAGTTCTCTTAACATTCCAAATTAAAATAATAAAACCAACACATGGAGTGAAACTGATTTCATATCATGTGTCTTCTACTCTATTGCAATTGACTGACTAATGGGATTTTCAAAAATTAAAGCTGGTTGTTTTTGTGTTGTTTCTTTTCTGTTTTCCACAGGGGGAAAGCCCAGGAAGCAGTCACAGGTCAGTTGATTCAGGGCCTCTTTTCCTCTGCTCTCCTATCGAATTTGAAAAAATTTTTGAGGCTTCCCATCAAAACTCCTTTTTTCTTTTCTTTTTAATTAGATGCACGGGCAGAAAATGTTAAATTAATCTTAATGCTTAACTGTGTTAAAACAGTTGAGATGACGGCAAGTCTGTGTGAAAGCAGAACATTGTGAAGTGTCTTCGTTCTTGTTCCTTGGGGTTACAATTAGTTTTAGCTGGCTGTGTTAGTATTTGTGCAAGCTGTAAAACTTAGTAAAGGAAATGTATGAAAGCACTAAACTGTGTTTCAGTTGCCTAATTCTAGATACTTTGAATTACTTCCATTTAATGTTTCTCAAAATGCAGTTTGCTGTCAGAGGTCCCAAAGAAATGATACAGCAAACTTCACAACTACTGTAATGCTGGTTTGTTATGCACATAAAAGTGGGCAACAAGTGGAAAAGGAACAAATCAGAATTAGGGAACCTGAATAAATGAGGAAAGAGAAGTAAGATTTACTTAGCAATGAAATTTTAACCATTTGGTTCCAGTAATTGTTAGCAAAATATGTTTTGAGGTTATACTCCTTGTAAAGATGCAAGAAATTCTTTGTAAGGGAAAGGCAGCATTTTCTCCAGTAAACTGGAACTTTGGAACTCTGCTCAGGAGGAGCAGGCCTAATGCACAGCTTGTTGAATTTGGATTAAAGAAGTCAAAAAAGGCTCTGTGTTTATGTTTAAATTATTTTATCATGACTAAGCAATAAGTAGTCTTTTTGTGTTTCTGTCTTGCTTTTAGACCTTTGACTGAAGAAGAAATTGCTGATTTGAAAGAGAGGCATTACGATTCCATTGCTGAAAAACAGAGAGCTGTTGATATGAAACTGCAATCTGAGGTAAGAGGTTAAAATTACTAGAATGATGAGGGTAGTTTTTTGGGGGTTTTTTTCCCTTGTTTTGGTTGCTTGCTTGTGTTGTTTTGTTAAGTAGTTAAGATCAACCATGAGCATGAGATATCATTCGTGTGAATGAAACAGTTGATTTTTATACATCTCTTGTAATTATTCAGTCAATGAGATACCCAAGGAGTTCGCTCTGCAGCTAAGTTTGCATCAGAGATTTTCTTTTTAATAACCTTAGAGCTGAATGAATGGGCTGGCTCTTACTGAGATCGGTTAAACATGAAGTCTTCTATTTGTAAGAAAAGCAAAATGGAGAATGTATTTGATTTAGTTTTTCTGGTGCTCAGTTTTTTCCCAAACTTTTCTTAAGGAAAAGACAATTTGTCAGTTTTCCTTATGTGTTCTGAAGCATTTCCTGGAACGTGATGTAGAATACAACATAGAAATGGAGAAAGATTTTGAATAAAGTAGTAATTAAATCTGCAGCTGAAGTTCTATGTCTTTCATAATATTATTTTATGATACAACAAACCTCACAACTGCTATAATGCATAGTAACATACAACGGTGCATTTACAGCAACTCACTAGTAATTATGTTTATTCAATAAGATAATGTTTAGTTATCTGAATTTCTTGGGATGTTTGCGGAGGGGGGAAGCTGTTAGATTCAGTTAAAGGAAAAAAATGTTTTACCTATAGTTTATTTTGTTTTTATTTTCTAGTAGCTCTTCTTTTGATTTATAGAACTTACGATTTTACTCACAGGAAGATAGATAGGTTCTGCTTTTGTTAACCATTATTATTTTGTTCATATACAGTTAGCCTTACAAGAGGAGAAGTTAAGAATAGAAGAGGAGGCTTTATATGCTGCACAACGTGAAGCAGCCAGGGCAGCAAAGCAGAAAAAGCTCTTGGAGGTGAGGGGAAAAAGACCCCAATATATATCAGAGCTTCTCTTCTGTTTTTATGTATGCAGATTTTCCTCATATCCTTTATATCTCAGGAAATGTAAAAACAAAAGTATTTCAGCTTGTAAATTCCAGTAGAGAAAGTATGATTTTAATCTTTCTGGGAGAGCTGGAAATCATTAGAGTTGTTTGAAACAGCTTACTATGCTGATTATAGATTATGATTTTTTTGGTCTAGAATTAGCTTAACAGATTTTGTAACACTATATAGAATTTACTGATCTTTAACATAATCTGTGATAGCTTTCTAACTAAAAATATTGAAATTAAGCGTGTGTTACAACGTCATTTAGGCTTAAAAAATGAACTTATACCTTTATTTGCACTAAATTGTTGCCTGTCTCTGTGGTTTATGCTAACATGGGGATTAGTGTTTGAGTCATCTGAATTCACTGTTGACCCTGCTTTGAGCAAGAGGTTGGGTTTGGATGACCTTCTGAAGTCCCTCCCACCCTGAATTGTTTATAATTTTGTGATTTGTATGTATAGTAGCCAAACTCCAGTAACAACTACTTAACAGTGGTGTTTATTTAATGTATCCGTGCCTGCCTTTAGATGTCTGTCTGGTAACTGGAGCTTGGTCAAACAAAACAAAAGCTGTATCTTGATTCCCTGCATTTCTAAAAACGGTAACTGATTTGTCTCCTGATAGCATTTATTACTGATTGTTTTCATGTTGCAGTTCAAAACCATGTATTGGTGCACTTAATATTTTCAGCATCTTAATAAGCTGTTTAAGTATATGTTCTCACAGAGGCTTCAGGTTGCCAGAAATGTACACGTTTAACAGAGTGTTTTTCAAGCTATCTGTCCATATATCATGTGTCTGACTGAAGTTGTAGTATGTTCGGGGCAATTGCTGCTAGATGTGTGATATTTCTTCAGTTGGAAGTAAATTTGTAAGTGTTCAGAATTAGAGTAAAGGAAGAAGTCTGAAATCTATAAAAGGTAAAGGCAAGGTCTGTAACTCTAGTGTTTTTTCTGTATTCAGAAGTGAATAAATTGAAAGTTACTATTTGCAGGCTGATAGCGATGACTCAGTTTTCATCTAATATTTATATTACTAAGTATAGCTCAGATCTCATTTTGCATTTCTCTTTCTATCCTCTTGCCATTTAGGGTGGGTGGCTAATTCTTTCTGACTCGCTTTCCCTGTCCCTGTCTTTTTTTTTTTTTTTTTCCTTTTTAACCCCTCTACGTAAAGTCAGGAAAATTGATTTCTTTTATGCTTGAGCCTTTCACTCAGCTTCGTAGAAATTCTGTGTGAAAAATACTGCTTTCCTTCTCTCAGTCTTTTTATCAGGCACCTCTGAGGCACAACCTGTGACAGAATGCATTTATGGAGTTCTTATTTTCTTTCTCTTATGAAATTAACACCGCTTACTCCCTCCATAAATAAATCCCATCCAAAATCCTGAAGCGATAAGGATTTCTAAGGTAGTGTTTTTGTGTATATATATATATATGCACTAAACTTGAACCTTACTTTATCAGCTAGAAGCCATTTTCTGAATACATAACTGATGCCTTTTCTATTCATTAAGTATTTTAAATTTAAAAAATGTTTTTTCATTGAAAATATGGTTATTCTTTAAAACTGTTTGCTGATGTTTCCCTGCTGAATGTCAGGGTAGTTTACAGCAGGAAGTTTTAATATATGTGTATGATGGAACTTATGGTGCTGTATGGTTGTGATTCCTCAAAATGGATAGATAATTCAAGTCAAATATTATGTAGGTATATGAATTCTAAAAGTCTGTTGTTGCATACATCAGTAATAGATTTTTCTTATTTATTTATATTATTTTTTAACACCAACTGTGTCAGGGCCAATTTCCTGGCCCTTTCTCCCTGTTTACTTAAGTCTTCCCATCTCTTACCACCAATATTACACTTCTAATTTTTCCACACTTCCCATTTCCTTACTGGTTTCAACCTGCTTATTCTGATACTTTAATACTTGTGATAGAAGATGCCAAAAAAGCCACCATCATCTTGGGACTGAAAATAGTAGCTGATGAAATATCTCGCGTGATTGTTAATCCAGATAAGAGTGACTGTTGATGAAGTTTAAATTTGGCAATTAAAAAAAACTTTATTTACTTACACTCTGTTTTTCTTTGCAGGGACAGATCCGTAAAGGCTGAGAATAGATTTTTCAGAAAACATTGTAGCTAATTAAGTCAGATTTGTGTATAAAGCTAGCTTGGTTTTTGTTGTTGTTGTTGTTGTTTGTATTTTTAATCCTAGGCTTTGCCATAGTCCGTGTGAGCAGTACTGCTCCATTGCTCATTTACCTCTAGTCACATAGTTGGTGGTACCCAGTTTTAATGCTTACTTTTTTCCAGGCGAGGGAAAAAAAGCTTGAGACAAAGTTATGTTCTTGAAACTCCAAAACTTAAGAAGCAGTAGAACCCTACTTCTGTGACATTTATTGTTCCTCTTATCACTACAAAATGAATGTTTCTCAACTTGTACCTTGCATTTTTTTTGTTCTGTTTCCACCTTTTTTTTTTTAATTGAGAGATTTCTGAAGTTGAATATTATTTCCATATAATAGACCCCTCAGTATCTTAAAATTTGATCTTCATTTGAGTGAAAGTCAGTCTTAAGCTGTACTTGGACTGCTCCGAGAGCCAGGACAGTGCTCCCTTTAGTGCTGTGATTAAATGAATGAGTATTGAGTATATTTGAGAGACTGCATTCAGCATTTTCAACAATTTACTTCTTTCAATAGCAGCGTAGACAGCAGAGGATAGCACAGAGAACACATGTCCTTAATAACGGAGACTATCAAAGGTAAGATATGAAGTGTTAATAATAACTGAGCTGCGACTGTTTTTATTCCTGCTCATCCCTGTCTCACACATACAGGAAAAAATGATTTTTCAAGACTTACACGTACTGCATTGTTAAGTCAGAGTTCTTTTAATTCATTGCGGGTTTGTTGACGTCAAGTAGTTACTGAATGCAGACTGGTTCCCCTTTAATCTGCAAACCCTGAGGGGAGATTGCATTTGCTTTAAGTGTCACTGTAGTTACTAGACTGATTCATAAAATGTCAAACCTACTCTCAGCTAACATCTGTCTGTCTATATATTATATATCACAGGATCTTAGTGATTTATATATATGTATGTACACACCTACATATGCATAAATCTATATATGCACGTGTATATAAAATGCCTTATTGTGTAACAAAAACATTTAATTGTAAAATGTCTTTATTCAGAACTCTTAGAAATGCCCCATAAAAGTACAAATTAATTGAATGGGAACTTGAATGGTTTATATATTCTGCTTGTTTCTTCATGAATGTTGTTCCTTTAATTCTCCCTACAGATTACGAAGATATTTACTGTCAAAGGATGTATGAATTTAGAAAAAGCTCTAAAGGCAAACCATTATTTTTAAATGGAGTAGAAGGGATGTTAGATGGAGAAAGTACAGTAAGAAAAGGAGCTATGAAAAATGGGTTTTATTGGACAAGTTGGAATTAGTCACATTTTGGAAATGTGTGTTACAACATTTGAATACATTGAACTAAAAAAAAAGTTAGGAATTATCCATAATGACAGAGGAGAGGGGGAAGATTGTTTTATGACATAATTCATGTTTAGCTGAAATTGCAACTAAGAATTGAACAGAAGCTCAGACTCGGGAGGTGTGTGATCTGAAAGAACAGAAAGTCATTCTGTGATCTTTTTGTAGATTTTAGTTAAAGATTTATGTGCTTTATAGCTTACAAGGGACTGTGAACGGTTTCTTCAAAACTGTGAATGGGAGGATGTGTGGATTAACATCTCTTTTATGGTGTTCTTAGAGGTTTATAAAGCTAAAAATAAAACTTGCACTTACAGCTCTGTGACAGAGGAAGATTTTGATTCCTTCTTAAGAAATACAAAATTCCAGTATGAAGCTTTTCGAAGTAGCAGTAAGTCTTCCTTTTCCTGTCTTTTAAATGTTAAGTGACTCAGGAGCACAGAAGTGATTTTTTTTTTTTCCCCACACAGATAAACATAGTTTTTTTATATGTATTATCTTCAGAGAGAGAGAGGAAAAACAAAAACAAAAAGCAGAGAACGAGTTCTTTTCCTCTTTAATCTGCAGTGCTTCCAGAGCTCAAAAAATACAGAAAATATAACTTGAGCTACTGCCATTGCAGTTCTCAGAGGCAAGTTATGTAGGGACAAGTTCTGTGCATGGATTTTACTTTACTAAAGCATTCCAACTGTATGTGTGGAGGCAACGTCCATGCAGTGAACTTTTCTTGTGAAGTCCAACTGTATTAAGGATGCAAATGTTTATATGTAGCTTTTTAAAACCGTGTCTTAGAAAAATAATTAGAATCAAATTAATAATTAACTTCTTGTTCTAATTAAGTTCATCAGAAGATTTGGCTGCCTATATTTAAAAATTCCACTAGCACTTTATGGGAAAATAAATGTATAAGCTGTTAAATCCATTAGTTAAATGATGGTCTGTGATAATCACTAAGAAGTATGTTGTCATACAAATTCAACCTGCACTTTAATGAATTGTTCCATAGTTGTAATTGCACAGTGTGACTAAATGTCATCATATGGGATCTTGGTGCTGTTGAGTGTTACTAAGCAACTTTGTACTCTTGGGAGTGATGGTTGAAGCCTTTTTTCAAATGGGACTTGAAGTACACAACATAGAATGAAAACTTAATTTGAAAGTTTAGTTTTGTGTGTTAAATCTCAAATCCAAGTGTTTGTGAATAACTTTTTTGTACAGGACTTTCATCTGATGCTACAGTGCTGACACCAAACACAGAGAGCAGTTGTGACTTAATGACCAAAACAAAATCAACGAGTGGAAATGATGACAGCACTTCATTAGATTTAGAATGGGAAGATGAAGAAGGTAAATTTGTCATTTTTAAATGGGAAAAAGCTTACTTCTAATGATACTTGTCTCAATGTGTAATGATTAAGCTGTGCATAAATTTTACGTAGAAAACTGCTCATCTGATAAATGTAGTTATGTTTCTAATAATTCATTTACTTGAATCTTTTACTAAATCTTTATTCTATTAAACGAAACTGTAGGGTAAGCCCATGCCAAAATGAACTGTAAAGAAATGCTGCCCTCTTGTGAGCCAGTAGCAACAGGAGCAGTTTGTTCTATTTCGTTTTTCAGTTACAGAAATTGATCAAGCATATTTCATTGAAGTATTTCAGGAAAGTGGGATTTTCGTCTTTTGGTTGATTTATTTGTGTTGTTCAGGTTTTTTAAAATGGATTACTTTAACGGTAACTTTTATGGTTCTACTGGAAACTTTCCTGGTTGTGCGTTCCGGATGAGTATCCCAACTGTTTTTGTTGCTGCTGTTGTAGATTTTTCCTGTTCTTTTTAGGAAATACAGAATCATAGAATCACCAAAGTTGGAAAAGACCTAAAAGATCATCCAGTCCAACCATTCACCTGTTCCCAATAGCTCCCACTAAACCATGTCCCTCAACACAACATCCAGCCTTTCCTTGAACACCCCCAGGCTCGGTGACTCCACCACCTCCCAGGGCAGTCCATTCCAGTGCCTGACCACCCTTTCTGAAAAGTAATACTTCCTAATGTCCAGCCTGAATCTCCCCTGCCGTAGCTTGAAACCATTCCCCCTGGTCCTATCACTAATGACACGAGAGAAGAGGCCGACCCCCAGCTCACTACAACCTCCCTTCAGGAAGTTGTAGAGAGCAATGAGGTCTCCCCTGAGCCTCCTCTTCTCCAGGCTGAACATTCCCAGCTCCTTCAGCCTCTCCTCATATGGCCTGTGTTCCAGACCCCTCACCGGCTTTGTTGCCCTCCTTTGAACACGTTCCAGGGCCTCAATATCTTTCTTGCAGTGAGGGGGCAGAAAGCCCTTCAGAAGTCCTTGTCTTTCTTTCAAAGTTATCCAAGATTCTGGGATGTTGCCTTTTGAAAAGCTCACCACAAATGAGCTAGAATTTAATTTAACAATTCATAACTTTTTTTTAGTGTGTGTAATTTGAATTGTTGGCACTATCAAGAGCATTAAAATGTCAAAGCAGGCTTCTGAACTAGAAAGATTTAACTTTCACCGATCTTCATAGAAATATACAACCTATTTTTTTTTTTTAATGTGGGCCAGAGGAACTGAAACTAGAACAGTGCCATGTATGTTGAAATATACTGGATTTTACATTGAGAGGCAATTAGCACCAGCAGAAAAAAACACAGCAATGTCTGCATTTCAGCAGACTTCAACCAGCTAAAAACTTAGCCACGGGTATTCATCTGTTTTTGCACTTAAATACTTAATACTGAAAGTGCCAAAAACTGCTGAACTGCAGACATTGCTGTGTTTTTTTCTGATTTCTACCAACTTCTGTGCTGCAAAGGGGTAGCATTTTTAAGAGTTATTCATTGTGACAGTTGTGCATTTCTTTTCCCTGTTCCCCTCAAATCTTGAGCAGAAGAGATGTTAACACAATCCATGGAACACGATTTGTATTAATGGTTGCAAAGAAAGTAATGGCATTTGAAAGCATTACTAGTCAATACTGCAAAGACTTTGAGTAGCCTTAACAAATTCTTTCTGGATCTGATCTAGCTGTAAGTGTATTAAAACAATCTCCTTGAACAAGATTGCTTGCTTACGGTAAGCAATTTAGTTACTCTGTTATCTACTGGCAAAATCTACTGTAGAGACCATAGCAGTCTGAAGAGTGTATTGGTGGCTGGGGTTGAGAGATCCAAGGTACTACTTTGTGGATTAGTTGTGCATTTCAAATGTTAGCAGGGCTTATGGTAGAGTTGTACAGGGACTTCTCAGAAAGTCTGTGTCTACTGACAGAATAAATAGCAGCTCTGATGTGCAATTATGTGACCAATGTTTTGTCTTATTCTGTGTGAAATTAAGTTTACCTTTCCAATAAAAAAGTATCCAATATCTAATTTTTAGCTGCTGTTTGAAATGTGGTGATATTTCATCTGTTTGATGAATTACAGGAGTATAACAGATATGTAGCTTTTCTGGAAATGGCACAGTTCCAAAATCTTGTAATGATTTCATGCCCATAATGGGGTGCAGTAGGTTTCATATACAGGAGAAATGAATACTGCTTCTGAATTGTTTCACAGTATTTTCTGACTTCCTCTGAATTTTAGGAGCCAAGCTGGCTAAAGTGTGAATAACAACACTGTGGAGCAGAGCAAAGGAAAAACCTGTGATACTCATGAAATTACCCAAGTCTGAGTCTCTATATGATTCTTGTTTCTTATGTTTTAATGGAAATGTAAAGATAACTTGCTTCAATTATGTCCTTCTCATAAACATGTCTTAAATTGCAGGCATGAACAGAATGATTCCAATGAGAGAACGCTCAAAAACAGAAGAAGACATACTCCGGGCAGCACTGAAATTTAATAGCAAGAAGACAGGAAGTAATCCAGCTTCAGCCTCTGATGATTCTAATGGATTGGAGTGGGAGAATGACTTTGTTAGTGCTGAAATGGATGATAATGGCAATTCGGAATATGCTGGATTTGTAAATCCTGTATTAGATTTGTCTACATCAGATGTAAGGACATCTGATTCTGATCAACAGGACAGGTAGTGAAACTGTGGCCCTTGTTTGTGACCAAATGTTTAAAAGTGAAATAGAATGTACAAAAACATATTGCTCTTTTATAGCACTGTTTCCTTCTTTTTCTTACAAACGGATCAGCAAGGAATGGGGAAGACTTGCTATCTGATTAATTCAGAATTAAGTGCAATTTTATCATCTACCTTCTAAACTTTTGTGAAAACTGGGATGATTCTATTGTGTATATTTCTGGATATCTGGATTTAATATGAAATTATCTGTGCTAATTTAAGCTTCGTAGCTTAGCGTATCTATATTTTAATTAGCCTTCTTTTCTGGATGATGTTTCTATGATTTGTTTTTAAACCTCATTGTTGTCCTAAGAAAGTCTTATATAATTTATCTAATACTTGAATATAGAAAAGTATTTTTAAAAATCTGTCTTTATTTCTTATATGTGCTCTCTGATGTGGTGTTCAGCGATTTAAAGGGTGGAATTAGCCAGTTGTGGAAAAAAAATCACACCATGAATTGCAGTTTTCTCTGTCTGTCATGAATTCTCTCTAGCCTTCTGTGTTCCTTTTACCATTTCCTTTACTTTTTTTCTTATTATTTTATGCTAAGCACAATTTACCTCATGGTATGAATCATTGGGTTAGGTAAAATATTGTCTTCTGTAATGATGCTGTCTAGGCACAGTGTGCCTAGACAGAGGGGAACAAACTATAAATATTATTTTGTTTTAAACTGGAATAACCCATTATGTGCTGGGTGACTGGGAGGACCAAAGTTTTGATTTTTGATCACCCATCACCCTATTCCCTTAAAGGTCAACATTTGCTACTACATGGTTTTTAAAATTCTGAAGTTGTGGATGACTTGTGAATTAGCCTAATGAGAACGATGATTGAAAAACGTTCTCTGAATGAACTGGGAGACTGAATTTCTCTACGAAATAGTGTAGTTGAGCTCTCTAGCTTTCCTGTGCCTCTAAACTAAATGGTTAGTAGTGCTAACATGGGCTGAAATTTAAGCAGGTGTTCAGCTACTGCAGATCTAGTGTATTGTGTGGTCTCCCCTTTGTTTTTAATATAAGTTATTCTTTAAGAAGGGGAAAAAAGAAAAGCAATCCTCACTGAAGAGAAAGTGCAAAACAGTTGTAAGCCTCAAGATTTCCCCAGCATTTCAGTACAGCCATACTAGTCTACTGTTACTTTGTTAGCTGTCTGGTTTTTTTCCCCCTGAAAAAAAGAGTGAGGTTTAACTTCAGCATTGTGGAATAAAAGCAGCACCCTGTTACGCAGGAAAAGCGGCATCACTGGAACAACTGAACTTGTTGGTACGAGTTACATAACTGTTTTAGATCATCTGAGCTCTTGTGTAATGTTAAGATTGCTATAATGTGGTCCTCTTCTTAACAACTTAAAAAATCCTGCACATTTGGATTAAATATGTACATATATCGACACTGGCAAAGATTAAAAAAAAAAAAAATCTTTTGTTGGTAACATTCCATTTCTTAATTTAAATTGTAGCAATGTCATTGGAAATATTTTAATGTATTATCTGCATTTGCAATGCCTGTAATATGCTTTAAAAATTTGTACACATCAAATGTATATTTTTGGTTTGGCATAAGCTACTACTGTATAACTTCTGATGTTTATTCGTATAATATATTCTTACTGTAATGAAGACAACTTTCTCACCATGTAAATAACACTTTTTTAACCTGCTGAAACTGTAACTTGCCCTTTCCTGATCAGATGAGATTGACTTGTCCTGATCATGCTTCAAGGAAGTAAGCTATAGTCCTGCTTGTAGAATGAGCAGGCATTTGGCAAAAAAGCAGCCTTATCTCCAACTGAAAGTCCGTACTGTGATGTGTGTGTTCTGTAGACATGGTTACTAGCATTCTGCTTTTCAGAGTTAAGTGAATCACAGAGTGACTTAAGAAATTGCTCTCGATGTTTGTGGAAATGTGAGAAATGAAAAGAGGATGTAAACAGCTCACATGAAACAACACAACAGTACTATAAAATACGTGTCTCTGTAAAAAAAAAAAACTTAAAACTAATTAAAATTTTCAGTCAGTCTTATGTTTAACAGTGTTTTCTGTTGTTTTTGTGGTCACTGTTTCATGCATAGTGAAAGCAGTACGTGAAGATGAACTGCTGAGTGTTACCCAAAATTATCTCTGCACTGTGAAAGAATGTTTCACTTTTAAAATCATTATGCATCACATAACTTAAGGTTTCGATGAAGCTGTGCCTTTGAACTACTGATCTACTACTGTACCCTCCCCTCTTTGAGACCTGTTGCTGTGGAAAGGAAGCTCTTACAAGTTGCAATGATAGAGGATCTGAAGAACTTGGAGCGTGGAGCCTTTCTGTTTAAAAAGAAGCAACTGCAGCACTAGGGTTCAAAGTAAGGTTACATTTGTGTAATGCAAGTAGCATCCTTGTCTGTCCTAGCTAGTATATCATTTTAACTGACTTGCTGGCTGTGTCTGCATAGGGGCGACTGTATATTAATTAATTGGAAATTGTGCTTTCTATTGAGGAAGAGTTTTATTAAGTTGTTCATCTTAAGTATGTTTTATGCTGAAGTTGTGCTGTAATCAAATGTGAAATCTGTTGATGTGATTGGGCAGTTACTTGACTAGTAGAAAGTTAGTGTTTCAGAGAATACTGTCTTAGTATTCTGCAATTGTGAATGCTGTTAGCTATCCCAAGTAGGAAAAAAAAAAAGAGAAATTAAAAAAAAAAAAAAAAAAAAGCATCTACCTTAATGCATGCATTATTTTTTCCACTTAAGTTAGTAATATATGATTAATGGCAGCTTCTGCCCATGTGTGTGGAACCCAAGGATGCTGAATTCCCTCTGATTATCTGGAAGACATAAAAGGAGTGTCTTCAGGATATCAACTAAATTCTGTGAAGGGGGAGTTGTATTTCTGAATTACTTCAGTTGCCAGCTTTATGTAGCCTCCTAGGCACTTTGCCAGCTTGCTTTGCTATCATACTGGAGGGGTAACTTTCCTGTGTTTCTCTTTTGCCTGAACTGGAACAGTAGACTTGAGAGTAAAGCCTAAAAATAGTAATAAGAAAAGTAAGCATCAAATTGTCCAATCAATTTGTATTTTGAATCCCCTTAATCCAAACTCTTCAATCTTTTCACACACTGATGTGAAAACTGAACAGTGATTTTCATTCAAGTCAGTGGGACAAAATTGTCGCTCATGCAGTTGGTTTAAAGGAAGATTCAGTCTTACTGCTCCAAAGTGATGAATTGGTTGATGATCAATTAAATAACTTGTGAAGTATTGTGAGAATCATTTCAAATTGAGGGATCTGACTTTGGAGAGAGTGTATGCTCAGAACATTGAGTTACCTAGCTGCCTTCTGTAATGGAAAATGGTCATTTTCACTATCTTTTCACCATCTTCTAAAGTGAAACGGGCACTGGCCATCATGAAAGCTGTCACAGGCTATCAGAGTGTAGCTTGTGAATGAAAGCAAATTTTATTAACTTCTACAAACTGTTAGCTTGTGCATTATGAGAATGGATCCTAAATATTTTTTGTCTATCTAGGAAAAAAAAATTTTGCTGGATATGTATCGCTCAAAACCAGCTAATTCTCAGATTTTTTTCTTATGCAGTGCTTTTGGTGTGCTATTGAATGGTTACATTCCTATTACGTTTCTTGATTTTTATAGTGAGGTAACTAGAAATTATTTTTCATTTATCAAGCATGGCTATTTGCTTTTTAGGTAACGTTTTTTCATCTTGTATGATATCGTTGTCTCCTCCCACAGTATGGTACATGCAGAATTCTCCAATGTTTCTTTTTGCAATCGCTTTAATAGGTTGAAATGTTGACTTTAGCATATTGATAATAAGGCATGTGTAATAATCTTTGATTTAAAAATGAACATTTTATCTACTCTTAAGTTATGTGCAATCATTGTAAGTAACCCAGCCGTTTCCTAAACTGCAGCTGAATCTCCTTCACTAAGCATTTATCTGAATAAGTTTGGCTAAATATAATGACAGGGAGGTTTGAAAGTTCACTGAAACAACAGCTTGCAAATTTTGTGCTGTATAACAGAGGGTGAAAATTGCCATAGAAACATATTCAAGATGGAAAAAAAAAAAAGTCATTCTGCCAAAATCCAGTCTCATCGTGCCTGCCTGACTTTGTTTTTATGTGAGTCACCTTCATTTTAGATGTGAAATAAGAATAGTAAAGATGTCCCGAAGGTTTTGAAATTTCTGGAAAGGTGTCAATATTTATTGAGACCGTATGTACTGATATTTTCTTTTGTTAGCACACACATTAATAACTAGTGTGTGGTAGGGATACTCATCAGGTGGCTGTGTGTCTGGGGCACAGCTCATCCTTTCCAGTATTTTTCTAGTTGACTGCTACTACAAAATCAATGCATGTGATTTATCCACAGTACCAATTTTTGTGTTTCTTTTCTGGAAAATAACAATATTTTTACTGTTCTGGGGGAATCATACTAGAAGTGAACCTTATCACTGCTTTCCTGGGATCAAAAGTGCTGTGAGAGACTGTGCTGGTTTTTGACACTGTAGCTTAAGAAAGTGGCACCTGTGCAATGGTTCCTCTAATTTTTCACTTTTAAGATGACCATCTTTGTATTGTACAGGTATGTAAGTACTACAGTTGAGACTCTTTTTGCTGGTGATACAAATTTAGAATGGCTCTCGTGGAGGCTGCTTAAGGTACACACTGGAGGACCATAATGCCAGTTATTGACATTTTCACAACTGCTGTTTAATGCCTGGTCTGCAGACCTCTGAATTCCGTGGGAATGTTTCCAGTGAGCTTTTAATTGGGCCTTAAGAGCTTTCAGCAATGGCAAAGTCAATAAAACTGTAGCTTATCTCGAAATAAACCAAGCTACAGGAAGTAAGTGCTAGAACATTGGTACCTGTGCCTCTAGTCTTGCTGCTCTCACGCAGTAAAGCACTTGCTTTTTTATATTGTCATATGAAGGAGGTTTGGAAAATATTATTCATTTTCCATTCCCCAGGTCAATATTGCCTGCTGCTTTCCAGAGGTGTGCTATGGACTGTGCCACTCCAGACCTACAGCTAGTCACAGAGCCCCTCTGTTCAGTGTGAATGCAAAACCTTGTGAGATGCAGCACTGGAACTCTGCAGAACAGATAAAAGATTTTCCTGAGGTTAGTAGGTGGTAAAAATTTCTGTCTATATACTGAGCCTGAAAAGTTATGATTGGGGTTGTCTGTCTTTCTTTTTTTTTTCCTGTAATTAACAGCGGAGAAAGTATAAGCAATGAATACAATTAGTGCTGGAGGCTGATGTCTTGTGTGGCAGGGCCAGTGTATAGGAACTGTATAACACTATTTAGCAGTAGTACTAGCAACCTGATTTTGAGGACCCAAGCGGTACGAAACAAGAACTTGCTTGTCACCATGCAATCATTTAAAAGCATTCGTAAGAACAAAGCTGTTCCTTGGGAATGCAGAACACTCCCTCTTCCCTCAGATACTTGCCAAATTAATGAACTTAAGAAATCTCACACGTTTTATATGAAAGGTTGATTCCACATAAAAGCTATTAAATGTAAGAGCTTCTTGCAGAATGTGTTTTCATCTTGTTCCTTTTCTGAACAGTTTGCATTTGTAGGCTATTTGCCACTCTCTCTAATTAGAGAGTAGGAACACTCACAACAAAAGCATATGGAAGCCAAGCAGCCAGTGGCACCAGGTCTGGTGACCTGATGATTCCTGCTGGGTTGGTTTTGTTAGGCTGAGGGGCCGGGCACCTGGTAGAGGCATTGGTGCTGAGAGGTGTCAGCTGAGTTTTGCATTGCACATCCAGCCTAAAGACTGTAAGAGGGGTGAGTATTAGAGGCTAGTTCAACAGGTGGAAAATTTGTCAACGAGGCATTTTTTTTGTAAGGATGAAACAGACGAATGAAATCCCATGAAAACTTGGGTTTGGTCTCATTGCCCTTCCACATACTTCTCTCATTTGTGATTGTTTCCACTAATCTTGGATTATGTTGTGGTTTTTTGTATTGTAACGACTAATGTTGAAATGCTTTCCTAGTTTTGGGGAGGTTAAAGGGAACGGTTGACAGCCCATTCAATGTAAGCCTGACTCTAGGACTCCTCAGACAGATGTGTGTGGGAACAAGAGCAGTATGTAGCAGAGGTTTACTCTGTAGCAGATTACAGAGCTTAGAGGTTGGAAGTAGTTTAAGTTAAGTTAAGTTGGACGGCGTTCTGAACGTTTAGGATAATTTAGTTACTCAGTAGATGTTAATGCTTGAGGATAAGATAGATAACTCTTAAAAGTGCTTTGCTCTGAGCCTTTCCAGTGTTTATTTCAAGCAGTCTAAAACACTTGACAAAAAAGAAGTGATAATGAAATGCTGAGCCCCTAACAAAAACTTAAGTGAAAATGAAATTATAAGAGACTAATGGAGGTGGGGCATGGGGAGAGAGAGAATAGGGAGAAAACTCACAAAGCGTTTTAGTTAACTCTTGATGCAGCATCACTTTTAGAATATTGCTGGTGGATTGTCCTGGAAGTCATTTTATTCACATAAGCCTTTTTACTTTATAGGTGCAGAAGACAACAAATCTTTACTGACTGACCAAATGCTTTATTACAAAATCTATCTGGATCTTTACATAACATTTTATGTTTATTTACATTCACAAACTAAAACAGCTTACTTGCAAAAAAAATATATGTACATATATTTTTTTTCATCTATTTAAAAAATATTAGAAAAATCTCTGTGCAAAGTTAGTAAAAACATTAACTTAAAAATGCTATCCTTACAAAGTGCTTCTAAGCTGCAAAATGTGGGACGTTACAACCTAGGCTTGAAAATACTGTTCAGAATTTAATGTCAAAAGCAAAATGCGAAGTGTAACAAATGCAGTGAGATATGACACCCCTCCTTAGTTAGCCAGCACTGGGGCTAGGACATTGTTCTGCTTGCATAAAATATTAACGCTTGCTAAATATACCTTGTAGGCACACAGTCACAGTTTTGAATAGAATATGTTGCTATGGACATGATTATGTAGTGAACAGAGAGCATGTATGCCCTGATAAACACGGTGTCAGACACACAGTTTCTGTTCAACAAAGTAATGTCCCAGTTTTAGAAAAAAAAATTGCCTCAGAGCTTGTTCAGCAGCCCTCGTCTGAGATTAATAAGTCAGTTGACAGCATTTGGCATCTTGCTGCCTTAATCTTCCTCCGAGTGTACATATGTCGAACCACCTCCTCCAATAATTGGATTGAGACACCTGGTATGTCTGTATGGGAAATTGTGTGTAAGGGGGCTGATATACAGCAGTGAGAACCATTAGAAACAGTGGGTTGAGATGATCGCCTTCAGCTCTTGAAGTTGTGCAGGCTTCACATGTTCAAAAACTCATCCAGCTTCCTCCTTGCTGCTAGCATGACTCATTTTCATCAATCTCTATGGGGCTTTTGCCTTGGGAAGGAGACAAGGAAGGGAAAATGCCTTTCTCGGGTATGGGTTGCAGAGATGGCAGGCAACTTTCTTGTAAGATTGGCACTTTAGCCAAGTGTAAGTGAGTCTCGAAATAATCCATGGCCTCTCCTTCTTGAATCTCTGCTAAAATCTGGTAGTCTCCAAAACAAATGATGCACTTCCATGGCAGATCAATTTTGTTTAAGTAACCCAGTTCTGTTTGGTCTACCATCAACTTTGTTTTCTTGCTCATGTTCTTTATCTCAAAACAAAATTCTGAGCTGTTAAGTTTTCTGTAGAACTGCAGTGAAAACTGGATCCGAGAAACACGAGTATCCACTAAGTTATAATGGCAGACGTTAGAATCACGGCCAAACTTGGCCATTTCATCTGCCCTGACCTGTTCTCGCTTACAGAAATTCAAGCAACGAAACATCATCTTGTCTTGTTGGCAAGGATGGTAAAACGTCATGTGGAGGCATGTTGCTGTTTCTTCAGTTTCATCTTCTTCAAAAGAGGTCATGGTGAAATGAGTCCTCAAAAATACAAGGAAAGGTAAAGTTACAGCATGAAATCTCTGCAGAACCAAGTAAATTGTCTATTATTTAGTGTATGTATTTTCTAGTGAATAGGCTGACAACAAACCTAAGTGAAGCACCGGAACAAAGAGTGGGAGTTGAGCACGCCCTACCCGTGATAACCATCATTTCCTGCCACTTGACTTGATGGGGGCCAAGTGGCAGACTGCTCTATGCTAGCCCCTTCCCAACAGTTCATCTCCTGTCTGCTGCCATGGATCTGTAATGTGTCAGAACTCTGAAGACCACACATGACTGTAAATGCCTACAACTAGTTCATCATGAGGACCTCACAGGTGGGTTTATCTCTGAAAAAAAGATGGCACTTAACAGTGACAGTAAGACTGGCTCTATGGGCTTACAGAGGGGTGATAGTAGCACAACCTGTGTCTCTGCACACTGCTTTACAGTGTATTCCTTTGTCTAGACATCAGCCGACTTGTACACATGCCATCTGACAGTAAGCACTGATATTTCAAATGTGAATAAAGTAGTATTTTTTCTCTCTCTAAAGAGAGTTTGCCTCTTTTATGAAACCAAATACAGTGGTTAGAAATGATTTCATGTGGCAGTTTGTAAAATGAATGCAAAAGCTGGAATATCAGAGACCCAGGAGAAGAATTGTCACCTATTCTGGGAATTTCTCTGTACCCTGCTAGAAAGTCCCAGCTCTCTGCAGAAGTATGTCTGCAAAAAAGGCATTGAGGCCCTGGAGCGGGTTCAAAGAAGGGCAACAAAGCTGGTGAGGAGTCTGGAGCACAGGCCTTGTGAGGAGTGGCTGAGGGAGCTGGGAATGTTCAGTCTGGAGAAGAGGAGGCTCAGAGGAAACCTTATTGCTCTCGACAACTGCCTGAAGGGAGGTTGTAGTGAGCTGGGGGTCGGCCTCTTCTCATGTAACTAGTAGAATTAGAGGGAATGGCTTCAAGCTACGCCAGGGGAGATTTAGGTTGGATATTAGAAGATAGTACTTTTCTGAAAGAGTGGTCAGACCCTGGAATGGGCTGCCCAGGGAGGTGGTGGAGTCGCTGACCCTGGAGGTGTTCAAGGAACAGTTGGATTTTATGTTGAGGGACATGGTTTAGTGAGGGCTATTGGTAATAGGTGGTTGGTTGGATTGGATGATCTTTTAGGTCTTTTCCAACCTTGGTGATTCTGTGATTCTGTGAGAAGTACTAAACTAGGTGCCAAAACAAGAAAGCAAGCTTTACAGGGTGTTTTGGTTTTTTGGGTTGTTTTTTGTTTTTTTGTTCTTTTTTGTGTTTCTTTTTTGTTTTTTGTTTTTTTTTGGAAAAGCTTTTGAAATGCAGCACAGAGTTACTTATGAACTATATTCTGTTTAAAAATCTGAGTAACAGCAGCACATCCTAATATAAATCTGTGAAGCATTTCAGGAACCATTGCATTCTGGTCCTTTGTAAGTGCAAGCCCAGTATTTTCCTGCACTGGAACTTAGTCTGAAGAAGGAAAAGATTATGTACTTAAAGTGGGAACCTAAGAATGAGCTCTGTTGCTAGCTAGAGAAGTGTTATTAAACAGCATTATTTGTAAGCTGCCATTTAACTGCAAATATAAAGTGCATATGCTTTGTGTTTCTCCTAGATCTCCAAGCTGTCTTACCAGCTCTGTTCTCTGAATCATGCTGGATGAATCCTTACAGTGTAAGCTGTTGTTTTATGGGTAGCTGAATCATCGCTGCTTATTCTGACTTCTTGTTTGTAAGGCTATATTATACCACTGTAAATAAGTTCCAAGCACAATACATGGTTTACCAGTATGCCTATCTACTGGAATCCCTTCCTTCCCTGACCTTTAGCACACTAACAGCAGCAGTTGTGACACAGGAATATAGCTACCACAGCTTGCTTAGCTAAGTAGGCTACAGAAGTGCTTCTGCCAAGCATAGATATTTAGAGAAATATAAAACTTCAAGCAGATCTCAAAGCTCACTTGAAAACTAACTTGAGCATATGATCCGTGCTTTTGAAGAAAGTATAAAGACTCTCTGGTGGCAGAGAGTCTTTGTTATTCCTTTGTCATCTGTGAGATATGCTTCCATGGCATCTGCATCCATCCCTTGTTCCAGCAGTATGCTTCAGCCCCAGAGCACAGCTCTGTGTGAAGGAGAGTGAACTTTTGCTTTCTGTGCACTTTTCTGCCTTTGTCATTGTTTCGCTCCAGTAAGAGGATATTGAGATGTTACACAAGGTCAGCTTTGGCTCAAGGGAAGGCTAAAGGCTTTGGGGAAACCACATGATTTCACTGAGTTCACAAGTCAGTCTACAGAAACTCAGTTCTCTGTCTTAAGTTCTGGGTTGAGTTTGGTGCCAAATTACTGCTAAAGGAGTTTATTAGATTGTATGGCACAGCAGAAAGATTTTGAAGAATATTATCCAGAGGAGGAAACTGACCATAGTTAAAAGCAAAGATTTTTCCTGCAACTGTAAGGTAGCCCTCTGTAACGCTGTTGTCTGTACCTTCAACTGAGTCAGTCAAGATTTTACCTCTTTCCTTTCTTACAGCATCATCTCTTTCAGTGTACACCACTATCCCCGTTTTAAGAGACAGAAGAGTGACACTTAGAGTTAAGAACAAGGTTGCCTAACTTGAGAAATCATAGCACTCCACCTTGAGTGTTTTAACTGGTTGTTCAATGGTGATAGCTTTACCGTCAAGCTGGAGTTCAGGGCACACTGCCTGTTTGCTTCCGTAGATGCAAACATAAATTTTTCAGCCTGAATACAAAGAAAAAAGGTACATCCACTTCGGTTTTTTGCCTTTTGTTTTAAATAACCACCAACATCAGGGTGCTGTGGAAAGCTTTCAAGGATGATACCTAAACATGGCTACCCTTTCTGCCTCCAGGAATGCAGGCTGCAATCACTACCAGCGAGCAGCGAAGGACAAGGCAGGAGGCCAGCAATCAGCAAGCTGCTTTTCAGCCTCTAATCATTCCTGGACAGGTTTGTCCTGTGTGGTTGGTATCTTAGGTGCCTAACACAGACAATAGTCCATTATCACCAAATTAACATTTTGCACAGGTGAGTACAAAGAGCAACCATCTCCAGGCAGGTGTACCTCTGAGAGCTCATAACTTTGGGGTGCTCACTATCTACAGCCTTAGCCTTGTTAAAATGATATTTGCTGTATTTACAAGAGAACATACTGGAAGTACTGCTCACTCTCAGTCCCACACGTGCACAGAGTGCCTATGGGGCAGCACAGATCCTGCTCAGCCTTCCAGCCAGCAGACACAGCTATTGTAGGATCGGCACATCCCAAAGTTTAGATGCAATGCAGCCACCTATTCCGCAAGACACTGAAGGAAACCCAAGCTGAACCGATCTCCTAATGCATCTGCAGAGCTGCATGACAGCAGTTACAGGTGGAAGCCACGCTGGCTTCATTAATTCCCTCTGAAGCAGGAGGGACACTCCACTTTCTCTGCTGCTCGAAGCTGTGACCCCTCCAGGCCTGCAGGGCCACAGGGACCTCTGGACCTGCAGAACAGGGGCAGGGAAGGAGAGGCCTGGGGTGGAACTGCTCTGCACACAAGTACTTGGGTTGTTTTTTTCCAAAAAGCATAGGGAGTTCAGCTTTGTCTGGGGTCATCTACTCAAACCAGCTCAAACCAGCAGTCATGCTGCTAACCAGGTCTACATGCTCTAGGGCTTGTGGGTTTGACTTTTCTGAAGAATTCAAGTAGTTTCAGTTTTATGCCCCTCCCCTTCAAGTTAACAGCATATAGTAACTACAAAACATGTTTTTGGCAGAACTGGTAGCATTTTAAAATTAAGCATTTACAAGTATTTGGTTATTTTCTTGTGCTTTAAGCAATGCCACTAGGAAAGACAGCACTCACTGCTCTTGGGCTGCTGAGCCTGGCTGAGCTGAAAATACCTGTTTGCTAGAAGTGCGTGGCAGTCCTGCTGACTGACAGGAATAGCGAGCCCTTCACTCCCTCCCTTCCTGTTTTCCCTACTGAGCTAGGTTACTCCCACATCCAGAACAGGGGGCAGCACCCATAGCAGAAGGGTTTGAGCTGTTCTTAGTCCCATGCAGTTCCATATCCCTCTTACCTGCAAAGTGCTGTAGCCCAAAGGTGTTGTGCTCCGCTGAGTACCGTGGCCAGGTGGGATGAGGCTGTGGGCAGCCTGATCTGGCAGGTGGCAGCTCTGCCTGTGGCAGGAGTTGGAATTGGGTGATCTTTAAAATCCTCTCCAACCTAAGCCATTCTATGGTTCTCTGATAAGTACGATGAGCTTCAGCTCAAATAAACTGTTCCAAGTGCAGTTTCTTTTATTTACCTGATAATCAGGTAAAGCACCTACAGCCTGATAAGTTATTTAGCAACAGCCCTCCCACTATGGCATTTATCTGCACCCAGTGTCTCTGCTGCATGTGCCCTGCTGTCATTCAGCTGGCTTTGAGAGCAGAGAAGCAGAGGTCCCCCCACCACTGACTTACCGAATGCTGGGCTGCAGCAGGCTGGCTGTACACACTGTGGCTCACTGCCCTCTGGAAAGCCTGGAGTTGTGCAATGCTGCATGTGCTGCTTCTTGTAACCTCTGCCAGCCCCTCATTTCCGCATACAGCCTGTTTACAAGAGCATGGCACAGTGAGAGCTTTCCTGGTGAGGTTATTTTATTGTGTGGAGATATTGAGGTAAGTCCATGCTCTTCCTGCTAATTTTTGCCTAGAAGTAGTTAACTATATCTTTCCTGGTAGTTTATGAACTTAATACTGTGCTACATGACTTCATTTAGATTCTGGCTGGGACTGTATTTTCTGCTCCTCTCTTCTCTAAGCTTTGCACTGGCTGAAATGCTGCCAGCTTTAGCAAGATGATCTCAGCCTTCCCCTATGAGTGAAAAATCCCCGGCACTTTCTGCAAAAAATAGCTACTTGGTTTACCAGAATTTATTGCTGTGTTAACTTTTTTCCCTCTCCAATTGAAATTTCTTTAGTTAAAAGCAAAACTGCAAGTAATTGTGCTGCCAGGCAGCGTGGTGTGGTGGGACCAAGGCCAGCCCTGCTGCTTTGTGGTGCCCATGCAACTGACTTCTCCTTTGGGTTTTTTCAGAACCTGTGCAGCTTTCCCCAAGAATGCTTTCCTTTCTGGAGGATGAACATGAGGTTTGACCACACAGCCAGTCCCTGGATTGCAAGGATGATTTTGGATGTAGAAGTGGGTTGGGGCTGTTCTCTTCTCACAAGGCAGCCTGCATTTCCAACACTCTGTTCATTGCCTTTCCATTCATAAGGGAGTAGGACTTCTTGAAAAGCCCTGCTCGTTACGTTAAGTGCAATGGTTTCTGCTTGTATACGACCAGCATGGCTTCTCTGTGTTGCTTCCGGTTAGGAACCCTAGCTGCCTCGGCTAATTACATGTAATGACTAACTACAGGAGGCTGTAGTACAGAGGAGCATTGGGATTGGTTGGTGTGGTGTTCTTCTACAACTTTGATCTGATCCCTGAGGTTTCAAGTAACTCCACATCCCAAACAAGCAAATCAGGAAAAAATAGTAGGAACTCTTAAATTGCTTTTAGTCATTATCAATTTGAGAGAAACTGAGAGTTACTGAAAGCAAATACATCTCCTATTTTCATAGACTCATAGAATCAGAATCATTAAGGTCAGAAAACACCTCTCAAATTATTTCATCCACCTACTACCAGTATTTCCCCACTAAACCATGTCCCTCAGTGCCATATTTTCATGGTACTTGAATATCTCCAGGGCTGGTGACTCCACCACATCCCTGGGCAGCCAGTGCTGGTGCCCAATCACTCTTTCTGAGATGGAATTTTAAGGCAATTCATGTTTGTATTTGTGGGTTGGTGAGTGAAAGGACTCCATTTGGCTACATGTTCCTACTAGTTCTCCCTGAGTGACTAAACAAGAAACCTTCCTTCCCAACAAGCTTTGAGAAACTTCAGCAGAGCATGCCAATGTGGGGATTGTTTCTTTCCTTTGGTTGCCCTGGCAAACTGCAGGTGGCATGGCTGTTCATGATGGCCCTGCAGTGCAGGTGGGGGGAACGTGTGCACGTACGTAATGGTGTTGGGGGAGATAAAATCCTCGCGGTGCCCAGCACAGGGCTGCAGGGGGGTCGGTAGGTGGCAATGTTCGACCAGTCACCGGGAAATGGCGTTTTCGTGTTGCTCGAGCTGTCGGGGCACCTGAAGTTAACGGTAGTAATTTCAGCGATAGCTTCCAGCAGTTCGTTTGGGAAAGGCGTAACAGAACAAGTAACAACCTGCAGCGGGGTTCTGCAATTAATTGTTGTGACTTTACAGCAGCAGAGTGTCGCCTGTTCAAAGAGAAGAGAAAAAGTTTCTCAAAGGCTTATTTATTTGTGAGCTCCTTATTCCAAGTATAAAGCAGGACATTCAGGTGGAGCTCACAGTGAGACCAGACGTGCGCTAGAAAGAGTGGCTTTCACTGACACTCCCGATACCATCTCCAAGAACCACAAGGTGGTGAGAAGGTATTCCAGAGGGAAAAGGGAGTGCAATTCCCTCTGTATTTTATTTACTACATTGCTCCTTTACTTGGGAAAAAAAAAGAACTCTGTCATTTCCCATCACGTTTGATCTGAATAAAGCCCCAGTGAGGAATTCCATTTCAAGGGGACTGGATGGGCTTCACTTACACCACTCCCCCAGTTTCGTCATCTTCTTCCTCTTCTTGCACCATAGTTTGTCCTTGATCCTTCTGCCAAGCATATCTTGTTCTAACCCTTCTAGCCTCTCCTTTACCTCAATTCTCTTCCATCCTCCTGCCCCTCTCGCTGTCTGTGAAGACGTTCTTTATGCCTTGGAACCCTTTCTTCTTAGCAAATGTGTCTCCAGAGGACAGTTTGTGCAGCTATGAGATGGACACTACTGTAACTCCAGATTTTATGGGACAAGAAGAAGGCAACACCATAGAGCAGGTGTTTGCTTCTTGCTCAAAATTAAATCTGTAATCCCTAATGTGGAAGAAAAAATTGTTAGCTCTTTCACTTTTTTTTTTTTTTTTTTTTAAGTTGGAACAAAAGCTAGATACTTAAGCATGTTGGAGCATCACATTTTTCAGATTAGCGTCTTAATGCATTTCAGTAGAATTAGAAATGAAAAATCATTTGCGTAACAGAAGCGTGCTGGGGATGAGTATTCTCTCCACAGCTGCTGAGTAACTGTGCTCATTCCTCGTAGATCTTGAATAAAAGAGTCCCCTACATTTTCTTAAAATAGTTAGAAAGAATTGGGATTTTTTTTTTTTTTTGTTTGTGAGCTCTACCACAGTTCTTTGTTTGCCAATAATTGGGATTCTGGCTTTCAAATTATTATTTTTTTTTTTTGTGGTCATTTCCTTTCTTCTGTACCTGGAAAACTCTCTACCTTCAACCTTTAATGGTTGAAGTTTTGATCCCTATATAAGGATCTACACTTACAAGTCACTGCACTTTCAGCTGGCATATACATCTTCTCATACTTATGTGCGTCCACATGATTTTATGGAATCTTGTTCAGACTAAGAAGGTAAAATGCATGCTATACAGCATTTCCTTCTGTAGTTGTTCCTGGAAGTTTACAATCTGTGTGTGATTCTGATATTTTCTTAGCTGCAGATAACCCCTCCTTAGGTACCATGTAGACCCTCATCACGACAGCTGCTTTTGACCTTGTCAAATTTTCAAGCTAAATGTGGTCAGTCCTTAAAAAGGCTTACTGAAGAGGCATCTATGCTGCTGTAGGTAATGCAGCACACAACATGACACTCTGGCTTACCTTTGTGCATTAGGGAGCATGCCAGGAAGGGGAAGCCCATCTTTCATATCAAATCTCACACCGACGAACTAAACAAGAGAAGATTTGGTGCACTATAACCATCAGGTAACAAATTCTTAGTCTTCATAATCCCACTGACCAACCCTGACCATTAAGAGACCTTATTCACTGTAAGAACTGAAATAATAGTTCATGTTTCTTACAAAAATTTCAGCCAAGGAAAGTATGTTCTTTGTTGATTATAGCCCTTGCATTTCAGCCTGCTATTCTCTTCTCTTTCCTCTTCTAAATTAGAACTAACCTGTGGAAACTGCCTAAAGCTGGGCTTTCTCAAAGTGACCAGACATCAGCTCTCATCAAAGATATTGCAATACATTTTGTGTAGTGGCAAGTATTTTAAACACTCTACTGGGAATTGATAAGATTCTAACAGTGATAAAATGTATTTTTCTGCAGTAAGTAATCTGTTTTCATTTGTGCTGAAGCAAATCCGTTGGTACGTAAAAACCGTGACAATTGAGTTAGACTCCAGTGAAGTGATTTTGCTGAAAGCAGAAGCTTTGGGACTTCCTTCCAAATGTCACCTATGTATTCCTCTGCGTTCACAACAGGAGTGCTGTGGTGTTGTGTCCTGGGTATACAGTGACACTTCTAAATTTGTTGGATGACAACATTTTGGATGAAATACTATTTTCATAGCAAGGAATTTACATATTACCTTCACTGGGGCTGAGGTTTAACCACAGAGACTGGATCTACTCACTCTATCTGACTGCATGCTGTTTCAATGGAGATGATAGGCACTGTGCACAATGCAGACTAAATGTAACCATCCTTTCCAGATTTCTTTAAAAGCAGTGATTTAATATAGAAAGTTATTTTGAAGAGTTAAAGATGAGCATTAAAATAAACTGGCTTTTGCTGATATATAACAGGAGTAGTAGTTCAGTGTTTCCTGTTTTTCCTTTGAATTTGTATAGATGGTAAAGATTCCATATTCTGGACTGTGTGGCAAGAAAGATACTGTTCTGTTATCGCGCTTTATAGCATTTAAGGGCACCCAATTGTAAGAAATGCAGCCTGTCTTGAAGGTGTATGATGCCTTTATTTTTCTTTAAAGATATGCATGATCCTGTCCAGAACTGATCTGCCTATGATGTCTTTGTGTTGTGGATTTCACTGGCACAATGCAACACTACCCATTTTCCTTTGATGTCAGCTGTAATTATAGTTTCTGGTCAATCAGTGTGGCATTGTCATTGCTCCATCATCTTCCATCTCCTTCCCATTCTGGGTTATATTGGCAGTCTTTAAAGAGTGAGCCACGGTAACCTTCTGTATTTCAGAAACCAGTCTGTGAGACAGAGCATCCCTGTGAGCTGTCATGTGGTGTTTAGGAGATAGGTATTTGTATTACCTCAGGCATATATGCTCCAGTCACAAATTGTCACTGGGAAGTGGGAAAGGCAGTCTTGTACCTCTTTCCTCACTCAGGACTAGGGCAACATTGCCCCTTACAAAAAATCTCGGTGTAAAATAGAATTTTACAGCACAGGGAGCGTTGGTTTAGGGGTTTGTGTATAGTCTCACAAGGGAACGTTGTTCAATAGGCTTCAAAGTGATTCAGTCATGGCACAACCGTGGTTGTGGCCACATGTAATATACCCTGTAGCTCTTTAAAGAGGATTAGCCTTAGATCAGGGACAGCATTCATTGCTGGATTTCATGTAAAGTAGAGTATGCTAATGAAATGGTAATGTCTACAGCAAACA